CGGCGTGCCACATCCGACCAGCGTCCCGCCCCCCTTCCCCGCCTCGGGGCCGATGTCGATCAGCCAGTCGCACTGCTTGATCACGTCGAGGTTGTGCTCGATTACTACCACGGTGTTGCCGAGATCGACGAGGCGGTGCAGCACTTCGAGGAGCTTCGCCAGATCGTCGAAGTGGAGGCCGGTCGTTGGTTCGTCGAGCAGGTAGAGCGTCTGCCCCGTGTCGGGGCGCGACAGCTCGGCGGCGAGCTTGACGCGCTGCGCTTCGCCGCCCGAGAGCGTCGGCGCCGATTGGCCGAGCTGGACGTAGTCGAGGCCCACGTCGCACAGCGTTTGCAAGACGCGGCGGATCTTGGGAATGTTGCTGAATAGCTCCAACGCCTCGGCGCAGCTCATCGCCAGGACGTCGGCGATCGACTTTTCTCGGTACCGAACGGCAAGCGTCTCGGGGTTGTAGCGTTGGCCGCGGCACGTCTCGCACTCGACCCACACGTCGGGCAAGAAGTGCATCTCTACGCAGCGTTGCCCGGCGCCCTCGCACTCTTCACAGCGCCCCCCAGCGACGTTGAAGCTAAACCGCCGCGCCTGGTAGCCGCGGAGCTTGGCTTCGGGGAGCTGCGCGTAGAGCTGACGGATCAGATCGAACACGCCGGTGTACGTGGCCGGGTTCGACATCGGCGAGTTGCCCAGCGCCGACTGATCGACGCGGATCACCTTGTTGATATGGTGCAGCCCCTCGATCCGGTCGTGCGCGCCGGCGACGGTGCCTGCCCGGTGCAGCGACCGGGCGAGTTGGTTGTAAAGGATCTCGTTCACCAGCGAAGACTTGCCCGACCCCGACACGCCGGTGACCGCGATAAGGGTTCCGAGGGGGAAGTCGACGGTGATGTTCTTGAGATTGTTGTGGCGGGCGCCAACGACGCGGAGACGTGGGCCGTCAAATGACGAATGACGAATTTCGAATGACGAATAAGAATCTGCGGCCGACTTTCTCTTCTTGTCGGCAGTCGTCATTCGTGCTTCGTCATTCTGCGAAGCAGTAATCCGTCGGTTCGTCGGCACCGGGATCGACTTCTTGCCGCTCAGGTAGGGGCCCGTAACGCTGCCGCGCTTCTTCGACACGGCGGCGGGCGTTCCTTCGGCGACGACCTGCCCACCGTTGCGCCCTGCGGCGGGGCCGAAGTCCATCAACTTGTCGGCCGAGGCGACCACGTCCTTGTCGTGCTCGACCACTAGCAGGGTGTTG